GTATTAATACCATTTGTTTTTTTATATTTTTTGACAATGAAAAGTCTCTGCTATTTAGCATTGAGACTAAAGCTACTATCGATATTCATGATAAATATCAAACATCATGATAAATATACGATTAATATAATTATAATAGTAATTGACTAATTTTGGTTTCGCATAAATGTATGTTCCTAATTTGCCTATTCATTTCCTGGAATTTCATGCTCGTAGACGAACATACGATAACGAACAACTACCTTTTCTTTTCAAAAAAGACTTTTAATTTGATTCAATTTCGCAGTGGATCCAAACTTTCCAACGAAAAGTCATCAGTATCAATCGACAGACCTCTACTAAAACCATCCTGCAATACCAATATATTAAAAATCAACAACATTTAAATATATACAAGTATTATATTAATCATTATACCTTCATTTCGAGCAGTTTCTTATCTAAAAGACCAATCGCGTTTTCCAATTCTTGTTGGCTAGGATTAGAAACTGCAGTTGTAGCTCCGAATTCGCCCATTTCAAATGGATCATTGAATTCATTTTTTGTATTAACTGACGGTGTGGGATTGAAAGGGATGCTACCAAATAAATCTTCTTTCACCCCATTCTGACGTCTGGAATCCTTTGCTTTTGGCGGTGGTGCCACTAAATAAATATAGAATAACAATAACAATGAGATATTTAATATTTACTATCAAAGATAAAAAGTAATTAACTCACGTAATGGTGGACTTGTAGTGCCATTGGTTTGTGAAAAAAAGTTGGAATTCGAGGATACTTGGCCATTTAGAAGATTATTATGATTTGTCAAACCATTGGCCGTACTCTCATATGCCCTAGGGTTGAAATCCTCTTCGAATTCGTCCATTAAAAGTCCTTCCAATTTGGTACCAACTGACGGCGTTGGTGTAGTTTCACTTCTTCTCATAGAAAATAATGAAATTGTTAAATTTGAGTATTTTAAGATAAGTTTATTTGTACAATTTTAAATACCCCATGAAATTGTCATCAAACGTTTTTTCAAAACTTCTTGGAGGAACTGGAGGTGGTTGTTGCGATCCATTGGATGTATTTCCATTACTATCGTTTATACCAAGAGACGATTTGCTTCCTAATCCATTTACTTGCACTGTATCATTTGTGGCGCCAGGCACATGCAGGATATCCGGAAGATTATGTTGCGATAAATATGCTGACACATCAGCCTAGAGCAAAATTCCCTTGAAACATTATGATTTATTTTAACGTAATAGAAAATATCATATTCTTGAGACCAACCGATCCTTTGATCGCAGCTATATCCTGTAACCGCTGACGATATACATTATTCTCGTATTCCAATCGTTTTATTTTTTGTTGCAGTACCATGCAGCGTCTTTGCGTTTCTAAATCTTTTCCAGATGTTTCTAAGAACCGCCTGTAGGCCAAATCGAAGGCTTGACCAATCGTCAACGTAATCTCTTCAGCTAATTTATCGCTAACGAAAACGAAACAAGTATGTCTGTCAGCGTTTTCTTCTTTTGCGATAAAGCTGAAGAATTTCTTCTCGCCTTTATCATCGGCACAGTATGATATTCTATGTAGTGGATACTGATGCATAATCCGCTAAAAAAGTAAAGGAGGTTACCACTGAAACAATATAATGATACAGTATGTTAGCAAGTGTTAAAAATTTGCAATACTTTTGGCGATGTTTTCGTTTTAGGCTCCTGAATTGCAACTCCATCGATGCTTATTGTCAATTCCACCTTAGGAGTCTTTGTACCTTCGCTTTTCCTTAGCTGTTGATTAAACTTCAGTTTACAAATAGCTTCTTTAACAACCTCGATACCTTTAGGTTGATCCACTTCTGTGCTGCCCAAATACTGAAAAGTATGACGCACAGATTATAATTCAAATTATTTATTTTACAAATAAAGAAAAGAAAAATCGAGTGTACAAATGTTGCATGATGTTTCATTATTCATTCATTTCGTTTATATATTTATTTCAGCTGCTTACATACATTTACAGCGACTACCACAAATTATAAACCATTGCTT